GAACCATTCTAGGGGTGCGGGGTATAGAAAAGGTTGAGATATAGCAGGGGTGTCAAACTTGATTTCATTGAGGGTCGCATCAGAGTTGTGTTAGACCACAGGGGACCGAGTGGACATGGCCAGGATGAGCATGGCCAGCTCAATGTCCTGCAGTCCTCTCCAGAGAAAACGGAGTCCAGGAGGGCTGTGCATGGCCCTCCTGAGCTTGGTTTTCATTGGCAGAGCCACTGCAGGCTGGCCCTTCTCTGTTTCCAGGGAGGCCTTGTGGGCCAGGTCCTGTCCGCGGGCCTTGAGTTTGACACCCCTGACCTATAGGGAATAATGTGCAATCTATCTAACATACACACCTACCCCAAAGAACCTTCCACTGAATAAAGGGTTATTTTGTTTATTTATATTGCCTTATACAATAGTTCACAGAGTAGTATTAAGACAAAAATAATAAGAAACTACTTCAACATCAGCAATATAGTTTGTAAGTAGTTTGTAAAGACAAAACAGCCAAATAATTTTAAAAGCAATAGGAAATAAAGAAGTGCTTTGCCTATTGGCAGGACTTATTTCCTGGGAAGAAAGTCTAATAATACAGCTCTATTGCTAAACCAGTAATCTCTCTGCTTAATATTTGCTTCACCTCATTTGGAAAAGAACCTTAGCTGACAATTTACTGATTAAGTTAATTAAGGTAGTCTCTGTGGAACTGAGACTTTTTCGCCAGATGTTTATATCCTGTCTTTTAGCCAGGAGGGCTTCGATAGAGAGCCTACCTGTCATATTAAACCTATCAGCTTGATTAAACCTTAATACTTTCTATGTGGTGCCTTAAACATGATCAGAGACTCCTGCGTGGTAAATACAGAATTCTCACCTGTTCTAGTTAGCATTTTTCAGAAATTGAAACCTATAATATAGTATTGAACTATAATATTAAATTCCACTTCAGGTTCACCTAAAGTAGCAGCCGCTTCTCATCCACTTAACTGTAGAAGCAATAACCACAAAGATTAAGGCGCTATAAAGGTTTGGAATAAGAAGGCGGCATGCATGTTCAGTTCTGCCAGCCAGGTTTAATGTGTCATGCAAAACCTGTCAGCTTAGCTTGGGAAATTATCAGAATTCAGCAGTTTTTAAATCTGAAAGTTGTTTCAAGATTTGTGGGAGATAGTCGGTGTTGATTAAGCACTGACATTTATGTGCAAACACACACATAAATGTACCGTGTTTCATTAGAATTACTGTGGTCAGTTACCTCTTTCTAGGATGAATGACAGTAACTGGGACATCAGTTTTAACTATTTCTGTTGCAATAGGGACTTCTATTAATAAAGGAAAATGCCTCCAAGGGGAGAAGCTGATCTTTTCTTGGCATGCTTTCCCATCCTAAATAGGGAGTTATTTGAGATGAATATGTATTCATTGGAAGTTAAAACAGTCTGTAATATAGCATTATGGTGGGCATAGAATGCTTAGAATCTAAAGATTTTGTTGGTATATTTCTTCATTGTGATTCTTTATACATGGAGTAGAATTGACATGAAGTAGAATTGTTACTTTCCTGACCTTGGACTATATGTAAAGAATCTGTTTATAACTGTTAAGTGGTTAAAAAAAAAAAAAGGACAGTATTTTAGATTGTAATTATTCCAGTTTTCAATTGCTTCTTAGGGAAAAAGTCTTAACATTATAATCTGATGATGGGTTCTTCTGGATGAAGTTTAATATTGCATAATAGTTCTACTTTATTAAAAAAAAATTGTAAAGGGCCTGGATTATATCATCTTCCATTTGTTTCTAGTAACCCTGTCAACCCACAAAAAGGAAACTTTTATTGCTTTTAATATTTTTACTCCCCCCCCCCCCCAAATTAGAAATTTTATTTTTAAATGGCAACATGTACAGACAAATTCCTCAGTAGGCTCTGATTTGAGATAGTCATGACTTTCCATTCTGTTGATGGAAGATTTCAAAAAATTACGTGAAAATAAAAGTAATTATTTAGTGATCTCACTACAGCCATATACAAAAAGGTAAAGTGAAAAGGCAAAAAGGAGCAGTAAATGGAGTTTGTATTTAAAAATGGAAATAAAGATCAAAGGGGAAAAGGGAAAAGGAGTGCAAGGCAAAAAGAAAAGGAAAGGAAAAAATGTGACTTCAACTTTTTTCAGTGGAATACAAAGTATAGTTATAGCCCCACCTTTTTGCTTTACATTTCTTAGTAGATGCAGGCCATTTCTATAACAACAAAGTTAATCAAGTCATTTAAACCTAAGACCAAAGTTTCATTTTTTTTCTGTTTTGAGCATAAAGTCCAGAAGCTGTTTCTAAATAGATTTCAAATTTACATAAAGATATAGAATGTCTTACTTAGGCCATCTGACTGATTTCATTCTCATTGATCCCATAATTTAAAATTGATCAGTTCTTTGATGGGTTCTTTGATGAACACGACACAGAATCTAGTGTTGTTACCTAACCAGTATTCCAAATTCAGTGGGGCTGAATTTATAATGCACAGTGATTCATGTATGCTGTATGCTTTATGTAATATGGTCCTTAATGAGGTGGGACTGGTAACAGGTGGCATATTTTAAATAAGTTACCATTGGCCATGATGAGGATGATGATGATGTGTGTTTTTAGATGGGATCCCAGTTGATGTATAGATTTGCTTTCCTTCTTTCATCCCAGCATTTTCTCTGGCGTTGAAGTCCTTGAGTTATGACCACAATTGAGACTAAAATGTATGTTGTTAAATGAGTTTTGCCCCATTTTACGACTTTTCTTCCCCCCCATTGTTAAGTGAATCACTGCAGTTGATAAGTTAGTAACCTGGTTATTAAGTGAATTTGGCTTCCCCGTTGACTTTGCTTGTCAGTAGATTGCAAAATTGCATGATCCTGGGACACTGCAACTGTCATAAATTTGAACCAGTTGCCAAGCATCTGAATTTTGATCATGTGAGCCTAGGTATGCTGCTATGGTGGTAACTATGGAAAAAGTCACATTTTTCAGTGCCGTTGTAACTTTGGTCACTAAATGAACTCTTGTTATTCAAGGACTACCTTATATTGACCTATGGCAATAACTCTGAAAACATAAGAAAAGGCAGAGATTTTTTAGATGCCCCACAAGAAATTATGTGATAGGGTGTTCCTCTCAACTCAGTCTTGGATACTAGAATCCAGGAGCAAATTCTGAATTTTCTTTTAACACACGTAAGCAAAAGATCACTGCTATTTCTTGGAGCTGCAATTTGAAATTGAATAGTGTCCTGTAAAACTGAATATGTTTTCTTTAACAAAGAAATTTTGACATTTTGCTTGGGGGGAAAAGTCACAAAGAATCAGTATTACAAGTTTTAGACAACTCTGTTAATTTGAAAAGAACTAGAGTTCCAGTTAGACTAAATAGCAGGAATGAGGGAGTGCTTAACATACTCCACACTACCCACCCACCCACCCACCCCCGCTTTGGACTTTACCATTTTTTATTTTAGCTGCTCATGGAGAAGGTTCCTGAATCTTTCTCCTTGTGGAGAGAAAGTAATTTTCGGGTAAACTTTCACACACACAAGTGCTGTGAATATCCTTGTTTCTGATGCTGTCTTTGATTTTAAAAAAATAAAAATAGAATAGAATAGCGATGCTTTTAAAAGAAAAGGAAAATGTGCATCTTTATTATAAAAGATACCTTGACACAAGCATAATGTGCCACTGATAAACACAATGATCAATAGGGCCTGTGGAGGAAAACTGATTAAAATTAATGCAGCTGCACTGTATCTGTGTTTCTGTGTAAAGCAGCTTTGAAACCTTCTGCGTTTGCTTTCCCAGTTTGCACACTCTGAGCATTGTTGTGCATCTCCATTTGCAAGTTTAGGATTCTCAGAAGACACCATAAGCCAATCATTGCTTATCCTCTTTCTCTCCGGCTTACCAACAGGAGCGTGCAAAGAGTTTCCCAGCAGCTTTCCTCTGACTTTGTGTTCAATAATAATAATAAGAAGAATAAGAATAACAACAACAACAACAATAACATAAAGCAAAACAAAACTGCTGCCTCTCTTTCTACCTTATCCATGTTTTTTCAGGATTTATCTTAATGTGTATTTACCTGTATATGTATGTGTGTGTTTTAAGGAATCTGAAAGGTTGTTTTAGACTAGAGGAAGTTGTGTAGAAGAAAGACATTTTTAAAATATAAGGGTGGGAAAGTCCATTGACCTCCCCCCCTTCCCCAATCCTTCCCGCTCATCTAGAACATAGTTAACTGTTGTTTTAAGAAGCTTCTGCAGTTGTGAAAACAACCTGGTAATGTGTCAGAAGTGTTACAACCAAGAGCTTTTTCAGGCGCAGCAACAAAAAAGGCTGATCCAGGGAGTGATTAGCGATAAGCTCTGAGCAATCCATACGGGAAGCGAGAAACCCTAAGGAATAAGCCGGTGACTAGGGAACAGGGAGAGGGGTGTATTTCATTACAGCTGCTGTAATGGCTAACTTGAGCCCAGAAGCTAGGAGGTGGGATAGGGCAAGAAATCTTTCCAGTGAGAAAATAGCCTGCTATTCTTGGAAACTTTGTCATTCGAAAGAAAAATGTTCTTGAAACCGGCTTTATTATTGTTTCCAATGAACTGAAGGTCAGAAATACATTGATTCAGCTTCCTAAAAAAAAACCATAACGTTTAAATTATTGGAAAAACCAGGGCTCTGTGTTTTGCAGGAAGGAGCACTTTTTACACAGTTGGGTAGCACTCAATATTCCATACCTGCTTTCTGTAATTAGGAGTAGTAATGAATCCTAGAGCTGCTAAAGAATTTTTTTAAAAAAACTGCAAGATTTTCTGTGAAATGGAAGGGATCCCTAACCTTAATTATGGGACTAGGAAGAATATTGAATCCAAAAGTAAACTCTCACTGTTGAAACAAAAGGCAGAATTTCACTGTGTGTCTGTATTTATATATAATTATATAATGTTTAGCCATGACTGGAGAGACCAAAGGAATGTGCAAAGAATTATTGTAGTACTATTATTAATCTTTTTTCCCTCTTAAAACAACTATCCCTGCCAAACGATTTATCAAATTCAAAATTTGGCATTTGTTAGATTTGCAGCACATATCAAGAATGGGATATGGAATAGAATGTTGCTCTTAAAGAAGCTGGTATATGGAAAAGTGTATATATATTGACAAGAGCCTTGCTTTGCAAGATATACTTGTTAAAACGGGTTATAACATGGCTTGCAGTTTTAATGAATGACTAATGCATTTAGGATTCTTTGTAAAACGTTGCAAAATGTTAACAGATGTTGTGATCTATTGAAGTGTTTATGGGCACAACTTTGCCCCCCTTATTTGTTGAGTAATTCCTGGCATTAAATAGAGATAAAACTTCAAAAGTAATTTGATTTATTTGGAAGTTTCACAGGCTCTGATAACAATTGCATTGAAATTTATTTGCTGTCTTTAAAGACAAAGCTAACCAAAATGCATGACAGCTTTTGATAGGGGATAAAAACATTTTTTAGTATGATCATTGCTGCTGATAACATGCATTTAGAAATTCGGTTTCTGTATTTTTTTAAATTCAGCCCATTTAAATCAGGAGAAACCTAGAAAAATACAGTATAGAATGCACATGTGTTCTTGTGTATTTGTATAAACTTTCCCCCCCAAAAAACAAGAGTGTCTTCATTTTATAATGCTGTTTATGGAGTGGGTGAATAAAAGCACGGGGATTCTTACATCAAATGCAACCTGAGCATAACAGAACCAGATTAATGTCCTCAGAAGCAATGCTGGAAAAGAAGATAGCAATTGGAAGCTAGTGCTTTTTGCCATGCCTCTGAGTCATGTGACAGATACTCTTAACAGAATGTAAATTGCCTGTTCAGTGGGATCAAGCAGTCACTCACTGAATGCACAGTTCAAAGGAGGTGTGCCTAAGTCCCGTGCCAAACTGCAGGTAAGTTTTTAATCTTGTTTCTAGTTTAACTGAAATCAAACTCCAATATAAACCTTTAGCATTTTAACTTATGCATAAAGTTCAGTTTCTCATTGTGTGATTAGGTATTTAAATGCTGGCAAAAAGCAATATGATCCATATACAAGCCTTCAGAAAGCGAAGGTAGATTTAAATGTTTCTCAGATGATTGTAGCGTAATAGTTGTAGCGATTAACTTTGTCATTGAACATTGATTAACATTTGAAAACAGAGATAAACATATTTTTTACGGTACTTTTTCCTCTTAAAAGTTTGCTAGTAGGGCACATTGTACCTTCATGTTAGTTTTTAAGTCCTGGAGACAGTTTTCTTAGGAAGGCTTTTCCAGTGTGGTTTACCATTGCCTCTTTCCCAAGGGCTGAGAGAGAGAGAGAGAGTGACTGGCTCAAAATCACCTAGCCGGCTTCATGCCTAGGGCAGGACTAGAACTCGTGATTTTTTGTTTGTTTCTAGCCTGATACCATACTTCTTTTTTAAAATTTTAAAAAGCTTTATTTAATACAAAAGATTAAAATATACAAAAGCAAAAAATACAGAATTATACAAATCAACACCACGACACATTCTATAGTGAAACCAATCATGTTTTCCTCTAGTATAGTTTGATAGTGATTTAAATATTTCATAAAAAATATTAAATGGCAGGTACTTCCTATCCCTTGTGAAATAACTATATTAATAATATATAATAAATATTAATCTATTATTACTCTTTGATTATAACTGTGTATTTTTATAAATAAGTCATTTATATAAGCTTAATCAAAATGAAAGAGGAATAAAAACTAATATTCTATAATTTCCTATCCTTTATATGGTAGTATATTTCTTAGAGTCGAGTCCTTATTTCTCCTTATTTTATGCATTCTTTTTTTTTTTTATACCATACTTCTAATAGGGCAGACTAGTGTCAAGAAAATAAACATTCTTGGCAAAAAGTGAAGAATGCCTGCAGCTATGACTGAGTGCTCAGAGTTCATCATTATTGTTAACTTGCTCTTTTGTTCTGTTTCTAAGAAAAAAGGAGATACTTTAAATATTTAAATTAGGAAGTCAGTGTCCATCAGTTGTGTTCCTAAGTGGAGAACAATCTTAAAGCTGAGATGATCTTTTTAAAGATATGGGGATCTTTTCTTTATATGCAGGTCAGGAATTTGTTAGAGAGGAACTGACATAGCAAGTTATTAGTTCAAAATACACAAATTTGTATGTTTTCCTCCAAATAGGACACATTGGGAATTAACACATGTATGAAAATTTAATTTTAACATTTCTTTAAAAAGGATTTTTAAGCAAAATAACTTATTAGAATTTAAGCCAAATAAATTTTAAATAGGAATGCTGCAACTTCATTAAATGAATGAATATTCCAAAGCTAACATTTGAACCAAGAATGTACATTATTCCAAATGTTAATATAATAAGCATAGTGTAAATGCAAAATTTCAGAGGATACTTGTGATTAATAAAGGTTAATAAATGCAACAAAGCTTCTTGAAAAGACTTTCCATTAAATAGTAGGACATTTCATGACCACAAGACAATAAGCTTATGTGATACACGTAGCAGCTGGAAATATTTGCAATGACACTGGTTTCAAGAATGGTTTCTGGTTCGAAATATTTTGTAACAAAAAGAGTTAACTTGTATAGTAAGATCTAAATGTGGATGGCATGTGTAACTATAAAAGAGCATTCTGGGATATAGGAGCTGAAGTCCAAATTTGATTTAGTCCTTTCCATACTACTAAAGTAAAGCACTGACTTATATGTAAATGGAGATATAACTGAAAAATAGCACCTAATACTGAGTCAGCAGAGCATTTTGATTCTCTCTAATGCACACTATTTTGGCGGGGGAGTCTTATAAATCTTGGTTTCTTCTGTTCTTCCCATTTCATTTCCTTGTCATATTATACTATAAGCCTGACATGCCTTTTTGAAATTTCTAAGAGATATTTTCTGCCTCAGGCTTCAGCTTAATGTTTTTGCTTCAGATTATTATTTTTCTATTGTCATGTTTTTTTCTTATTCTTTTTTTTTAAAATATTTCATTAAACAATTTCCCTCATTTTATAACACCATTTTCTTTTTCAACATTTCAGTATCGGTGTACATTCATTTTACATGCATTTTAATTATATATACATATATCTATATATATTCCTTTATATATATTGTTCCACTATAATATATACCATGTATTTTTTATTATCATACTATAATTTCATATTCTTTATTTCTCTTTATATCTATTATTTAACCAATTATACCATGCATTCCAAATCAAATAATATTCGGTTTCTCCTCTATCTTTTATTTCAATTGTCAGCCTATCCATCTTGACACACTCTAATACTTTCCTTATCACACTTCCCTCAGACAGTATAATACCATTTTTCCAGTTTTGCACATAAACAATTCTAGCCACCATTATTAAATGTAGCATTAGATATTGTATTTTTTGTCATATTTTCCTGTTGTTATGCCTAGTAAGAATATCTCCGGTTTTAACTCTATTTGTTGTTTAGTTATTTCCTCAATCCATCCTCTTATCCTCATCCAATATTTTTTTGCTACTGGGTACGTCCACCACATATGATAGTATGTTCTTTGATTCTGTTTACATTTCCAACATTCTGGTGATCTATTTGGAAACATTTTTGCTAGTCTCACTGGGGGCAGGTGCCATCTGTAAAACATTTTATATAAATTTTCTCTGTATGCTGCTGACACAGTCAATTTATAAACCCCCCCGCCCAATTTTTCCCATTTTTCTAATTCTATAGTGTAGCCAAAGTTTTATGCCCATGTTATCATTATTTCCTTTACTGTCTCTTCTTCCATTTTAAATCCCAATAAATAATTGTATAATTTTTGATCAGTTTTTCCTCTGATCCCTGCAATATCTTGTCCAGTTCTAGTGGTTTTTTATAAAACGCATACATTTCTGCATCTTTCCTAAATCTTGTCTGGATTTGCATATACGGCCACCAGTCTACATCGATTCCCTGATTTTTTTTTAGTTCTTGTTTCGTTTTTAGCTTCCGTTGATTATTTAGGATGTCTTGGTATCTTGCCATTTTGTCTAAATCCAACATATTGGGGTATATTAGTGCTTCCATAGTTGATAACCAGACCGGTATTTTATTGTAGTGATTCCTTTTGATTTTTCCCAGATAAGTAACAACACATTCCTTATTTGATGTCTCTGAAAGTAACTATGCGTTTTGTTTTTACCATCCCATATGAATGCATGCCAGCCCCATTGTAGGCCATGTCCTTCTATTGTCAAAATTATTTTATTTTTTAGGATTATCCAATCTTTTATCCATGTGAGAGCTGCTGCATGATAATACAATTCCCAGTCTGGAAGAGCAAATCCCCCTCTATGTCTACTGTCCTGTAATAGTTTTAGCTTAATTTGTGATTTTTTAACCTTGCCAAATAAAGTTTGTTATTAATTTGTTTAAGTCCTCGAAAAATTTCTTTCCTAGTTTTATTGGTATTACTTGGAACAAAAATAACATTTTTTGTAATATATTCATTTTGATAGTTGCAATTCTTCCTGTAAATGAGAGTTGTAATTTTTCCCAATTATCCAAATGTATTTTTATTTGTTTTACCAATTTATTATAATTATCTTCTTTAATCGATGTACATTTTGCTGTTAGCCACATTCCTAAGTATTTGACTTTTTTGGTCATTTGCATCTCCATTTTTCCCTCCAGTTCTTTTTTCTGTTTATTAGTGAATTTTTTTGTTATTATCTTTGCCTTGTTCTTATTTATTTTAAGACCTGCCACTTTGCCAAATTCCTCTATTTTCTGGATTAATTTGGGTCCTGTTTCCAATGGTTCCTCTACGATAAATACCAAATTGTCCACAAATGCTTGGACTTTATATTCTTCTTTTTTTATTTTAAGGCCTTTTATTCTTGTTCACGTCTAATCTGTCCAAGTACAACTTCCAAAGTTAAAATGAATAACAACGGTGATAGTGGACATCCTTGTCTTACACCCTTAGAAATTTGAAATTGCTCTGTTGTATCTCCGTTTATTATTACTCTTGCCATTTGTGTGGTATATATTGTTTTCACCATCCTTACAAATTTCTCCCCAAAGTTCATGTCTTATTCTTAATTGAGTTTTGTTGTAGATCACTGTGATTTCTGGAAGAAACACATTATATAAATGTAATAAAATATACATATAAAATAATAAAGACACTATCATTGCATAATACATTTTTATATACAAGTCCATTCAGAAAGAGCATTAGTTGCATGATGTTCTTCAATATACCTCCATAAGGTAGGAAAATATATAAGGTATTTTTTGTTTAGCAGCTGCCTCATTTAGCATTTGCATGTACAAAGGTTTTTACAATAAATAATAAGTAATTTTACAATAAATATTTGCATTTACAATCTTTGTAGTTTGGTAAGACAGAAAAAAGCTTCACTTAGCAACAGGTTCACTTAATGACCAAGTTGGCAGTCCAGGTATGGTTGCTAAACCATGACTACTTGTAATGCATTTTTGTTTTGCTCTGTGACAACATACCGTATTTGCCGGCGTATAAGACGACTTTTTTGCCCCGAAAAACATGCCTCCAAGTGGGGGGGTCGTCTTATACGCTGGTATATCCACTGCCGGCTTTCGGATGCTTGTTGGACGCAGCGAAGGCGCCTCTGGCTTCCTGGATCCCCTGCGTCGCTTCCGCTTCATCCCGCTCACCTCGCTCCGCCCGAGGCTGCAGCCTTACTGCTCTTCCCACGGCCCCTGGCACTCTGCCCTGCCGCTGCAGCCCCAGGGATTTCTGGAGGGCGTTTCCGGTGGTGGTGGGGGTCGTCTTATACGCCGGGTCGTCTTATACGCCGGCAAATACGGTATTTTGTTTGACCTATTTGAGGACTTCTGGACAAATTGACAGCAAAGAACTTGGAAAATGAGATTTATC